CCCTTGCTTCTCAGAGGACGCGGGCCGTGCTTGTAGATGCAAGGCCAGAGCGCGCTCTGAGAAGCAGCCTCCTGCCTAGGAAGCCTCCCCCCCTCCCGCTGCCCCCTTGTGCGCGCCGCCAGCCCAGACAGGCCACGTCCTGATGCTTCCAATGCGGGATCCCTGGAAGCCCCGACCCCTTCCCCGGGACCAGGTCGTCATCCTGAGTCGTTTTTTGGCTGCCCCGAGGCCCGGCGAGGGCCCGCCGAGGCCGAAATCGACCAAAAACCTCCCGCCCAGATCGTTTTGTTACACGACGCGAGCACGTTTGGGGAGGAGATCTGGGTCGGGCTCGGCCACGTCGCCAGGGGCTCGGGCTCGGCGTCGGGCTCCTCCACGAGAGGCTCCTGACCATACCGGGCCCCCGCCGCACCCGACGGCGTCGGGTGCGGCGGGGTATTTTCGCTACTTTACAAAAAAGCCGAAAACCTACTTTTGAGTCACTTCGGTGCTATCTCGAGGTTTTCTTGCAATGAGGGACCTGGGAGGCATCGTACATCACAACCCGACGCGAGCATGTCCCGGGAAACGTCCCGTGCGCACGCCGCCCTTTGCTCCTCCGGCCTCGCGGGCAGCATCGAAGACCCCACGGCGCGGGCGGAGCTCGGCGCCCGCCTCTACGCCGCCTGCGTGCGCTCCGGGGCCGAGGCCCACGTCGGGCGCGTCCCTCCACAGGGCGAATGCTCCGGAGCAGACAGACCCAGACATGATGGCGTCGTAAAAAAAAACATGACGGGAGGTTTTTCGCTATTTTCGGCCCCTGGGGGCCCTCGCCGGGCCTCGGGAGCGTCAAAAAACGACTCAGGATGCAAAGCCGGTCCTGGGGAAAGGGTCGGGACCCCTGGGGGTCGACGTAGTGAAAAAATCATTACGTCGGGGGTCTGGGTCCACAGGGCGAATACTCCGGAGCAGACAGAGGCATCGTCGGGGGACGATGCTTCGTGCTCGTCTGCTTGTGTGACTCGGATTGCTTTGGCTTGGCTACTCCCTCCAGAGTTCGTAAGAAAGGGAGGGGGGTCTCATTCCGGGGGGGGGTCTCTTCCAGGCTATCTTGGAGGGCCTGGGGGGGTCTGGGGACCATGTTTTGGAGGGTTCTCCCACGGGGGGGGTCTAAAACTTCTCGTCTGGGAGGGTTGAGACCCCCTCCCTTTTATCACGAAATCTGGAGCAATTCTGCCCCACCCCTCCTCCGGAGCCCGCCTGTCGGAGGGCGTGTGACCGACCCGAGCCGAGGCCCAGGGCCCGCCCGAGGGCTCGCCCCGGGCGGCCGTCCGGGCCCTGACGAAGGAGGTGAGCTCGGGGCCCCCCACACGGGGACGCTGCGGGACCCCGGCCCAGGCGTGCACGAAGGATTGCAAAAAAACCAAGGATTGCAAAAAAACCCTTGAACGAAGGATTGCAAAAAAACCCTTCGCTTGAACGAAGGATTGCAATCCTTCGTTGCAATCCTTTTTGCAATCCTTCGCTTTTTTGCAATCCTTCAGGCAAGCGTCGGTGCTCCCAGCGGCAACCGGAGGACAACCGAAGACCGGCTGCAGAACGATGGAAGAGCACCGAACCCCTCCCCAACGAAGAGGGTTCCTTCTTCAGCGGCCCGACCGTAAGCCGGGAGCCCGCCGCAGGCCGCAGACCTCATCAGAGGCCGAATTTGACGCAGGCGTACTCGCGGGCGGCTCGGTCGCCACCACAGAACATACCAACCAGGGCCTTGCAGCTTTCTTCACGTCAACGGGCGCTTCTGCCCGGCCTCGGGCCCCGGGACCCTCACAGGTCGATCCGGCTCGAGACATCACGCAAAGGGCAGAGTCCGAGGCATGGGTCGTGGTTTTTCACGGTGTTGCAATTTCCCTGCGACGTCGGATCTCAGGGTCGCGCCGTGCAAAAATCAGGACGGGCGGTTTGTCGTCGTTTTCGGCCTCGGGGGGCCTTCGACAGGCCCCGGAGACCGTCAACAAACGGCTCGGGACGTAAGAACCGGCCTTGGGGACGTAAGAACCAGCCTTGGGGAAAGGGCGGGATTTCAGGGGACCACGGGATGGAAAAAATGCGGACATCGCATGCTTGGGGAGATCTGGGCGCTTATGTTGTTCTGCTCCCACGGGCGTGTTCGGCCGGTTTCGGCCCCGGGGCCGGGGGCCATCCCGAGTCGACCGTCTTCGAAAGTGCCGCAGACAGGTAGGTAGGGTGTGGGGCCCCGGTCGCGATTTTTCGCGATGTCGCCACTTTTTCGCGGCGTCGGATCTCATGTGGGCCAGGACGTCTCGGCGCGCCCGAGAAAGCAGCAGCCGCGGGTCGAGACGTGCTCTGGTCCTCGCGCTCTCGCTCCCTCTCTCTCTTTTCTTCTCCCAGTGGCACGTTCAGAGTCCTCGTCTCGGCGGCGCGCCCGGGAGAGAAGTGAGAAGGGGAGAAGGCTGGGAGGTCCCCTGCCCTCGGAGAAGGCTCTTGAAGCCTTCCCCGAAGGCGCAGAGAAAGCCTCCTCTATCAGAAGGCCTCGAGGGCCTCTGAGCAGCCCCGCCGCCGTCTGAGCAGGCCCTCTCCTTCCTTCGCTTCCCCCCTCGCTCGCCGCCAAACTCGTCGGCAACGTCCTGGTCTGGAGGGCCCCGATGAGCGTGACGTCGCTGACGGTCCGGGGCGGGCGCCTGCACGAGGCGGGCGCGCTGCTCAAGCCGCTGGACCTGCTGCTCCACTACTGCGACGACCCCGCCGCCGGCGACGTCCGCCTCCGCCTGGAGCTGGGCCGCACCGGCGTCACGGGCGCCTCGGTGTCGCTGGACCTCGGAGGAGGAAACAAAATACCGATGGCGCTGCTCGTCCTGCAGGTCCCTCGCCGCCACGGCGTGAGTCTCCTGGAGGTCCTGGCCAGAAAACGCATCCCCCGCTCGCCCGCAGAGGCCTCCCCCGACAAGGGTCAGAGAGTAGATAGAGTTGGCACTCATAAGTTTAATGTTACCCGTCTGCGACGCGATGTGTCGATCTGCCGATCGGCCGAAATCCTGCACGCGGGTGGCGACGCCAACCATTATTGAATCGGGGGCGGGGGTCGCGTTGAAGTTCGCGCCGGCACACTGGCCGCGCAGACGGTGCAGGATTTTGTCCATCATCCGCAGGACCAGGCGCGCAGGCTGGCGGCCATCACCGCCGGGCTGCTCCGCGAGGTGAAACGCCTGCAGGGCCTCCTGGCGCCCCCGGGCGCGGCCGAGCTCGTGGCCCTCGGCTCTGCGGACGACGTCGACCGCACGCAGCGGGAGTTCATCGGCCTGCTGCGCCGCAAGCACGGCGCCGAGCTGGGCCTCCCTCCTCTGGCGGCGCCGGCCCTGGCGGCGCCGGACTTGTGGCGCCTCCAGCTCCTCTGGGACGTGGTTCCCGAGGATCGGCTGCACGTGCGGTGGGGGCGTCCGTTAAGGAATGTGCCCAGGAGGCTTCAGACGGTGGAGAAGCTTCCTTCTCTCGTGAAGGTGGCGGTCATATCAAGAGCCGACGGTGACATCTCATGAAGGGTCAAATTTGCGTGCAGCCGATGTCCTCGGGAGGGGGCTCCAGCGCCGATGCGACTCCGCGGACCTCCGGAAGTTGATGTTTACGCCCTTCTTGACTCCCCTGTCCAGCTCCTGTGGGACGTGGTGCCCGAGGCTCGGCTGCACATACCCAAGACTCCCAGGATGGGGTCGGAGTAGATGGGGCCGGAGGCGCGTGCCGCATCGCCGATGCATCGCCGATGCGGCTCGATGTGGAGCCCGATTTCCTCCACGCCGACTGCGCCGGTGCATCGCCGACGTCGCCGATGCATCGACGGCGCGTCACGAGCCTCCGACCCCACGCACTCGGAGGAAAAGGAGGAAAAGGCGGAGGAAGAGGAGGGAGGGGAAGGAGGGAGGGAGGGAGGGAGGGAGGGAGGGATAGAGAGAGACTCCTCACTGGGGGCCCGTCGCTCTGGGGGGGTTACGGTCAGCGCCGCTCGACTCCTGCGCGCAGCCGAGAGGAGACGCTGGCGCGCTGGCTGGCGCCGCTGGCCGAGGAGCTGGAGGAGGCTGCCGCGCAGCAGGCCGCCGAGGAGCAGGAGCAGAGGCGCAGCAGCGGCGTCTTCGGCGGCCTCTTCGGCAGGCTCACAGCGCCCCCCTCGGCCATCAGCGAGGATCGGGGGGCAGGCAACGGGATGTCGCTGCGCCGTGTGTTCCGACGCGCGGCCTCGCGTCTTGGGGAGGGTGCCGCGGCCACCAGGGCAAACTCCGCCTCGGACGCGGTGGGTTTGCCGTGGGGGTTTGCCGCGGTGCGGGCGTCGTCCACTCGGGGCGCAGGACGCAGGGCTTGCCCGTGGGTCTGCCGTGGTGTCAGCGTCGGCGCGTCGAGAAGAAGCGGCGTGGCGACGTCGGAACAGAGATGCTCGGAGGTCCGCGCGGATTTCTCGAATCGGCACTGGAGCCCCGTGTCTTGACTGTCCCGCGGATGTCTCGGATGGGCTCCGCCCCAGACTTCCCGCGTCTTGACTCTCTCGCAGCGTGGATCGAGGAAGAAGCAACAGCATATATACATACATATATATACATGTATGTATGTGTATATGTGTGTGTGCGTGTGTGTGCGTGTGTGTGCGTGTGTGTGTGCGTGTGTGTGTGCGTGTGTGTGCGTGTGTGTGTGTGTGCGTGTGCGTGCGTGTGTGTGTGTGTGTGTGCGTGTGTGTGCGTGTGTGTGCGTGTGTGTGCGTGTGTGTGCGTGTGTGTGCGTGTGTGTGCGTGT